AGGTAGCAAGTAGTGGCAATAGCCAAGGATCTCGTACACGCACAGGACTATAGACACCAAGGTGTCTTGATGGGGAAAACCACAAATTCGATAACTGCCCGTACGTTAACCAGTTAGTTCAGACAAAGGGCTAGAAGCTAGACAAGGCAATTCAGGATAAGTTCACAGAGCTTAGAGACAGTCCTACGTCGAATTCGATAGCTAATGCACTAAGAGCAACAAAGCGGGGGCTTAAGAAGAAGACGAAGCCGCAGGCTGAGGTCTAGAGCTCTTCCATGATTAGTATGGACGATGGACAGCACAGTCCGCAACAATCAATTAAGTGGGTCCTAGAAGGTTCAGATTGGATTGATTGATTACCGCTTTAAGCCTAGTAGTTACCTATAGGAGTTTAAGCCCTACCTAGATAGGTAAGTGGGTCTAGGAGAGTGACCGGATTGAATTGATTGTTGCGGAGTCTAATGGACAGCCAGCGCGCAATAAGCTACACGTTAATGCGGTGTTGCAGACTGCAGCAGCTACAGGACTGTTAGCTCCACCGCTGCTCACGAGATGGATACTTAATCTTAGGTTTCGAACTGCCACGTCACGAATACGAAGGAGCCGACTGGATCTTGACAAAGAAAGGGGAGCCTTTTAGACTGTGGATACGCTGGAGGAGCCCTCACTCAAATCGAAGAATAGGGAGAAACGAACTATTCCAGGTCAAGACTCCGACAGGAGAACGACTAATGAAGCTTTACATTGGGTGGCATTACATCCCTAGCTTTCTTCACGAGTGTCGTTAGCCTATCGCGGAAGCGGTCTTCTCGGCATAATATTCGACTCAGGCAGAGACTGTCTATATCAGAAGAAAGCATCAATCGTTATCTGTCTTCTCTAGACTCCGCAACAATCAATTCAATCCGGTCACTCTCCTAGACCCACTTACCTATCTAGGTAGGGCTTAAACTCCTATAGGTAACTACTAGGCTTAAAGCGGTAATCAATCAATCCAATCTGAACCTTCTAGGACCCACTTAATTGATTGTTGCGGACTGTGGTCTTCTCTAGTATAGAAACGGTCACTGGCTTGTCGACGTAGAGAAAGACCAGAAAGTTAAGCTAGATCTACTCTCTACGTACGCGACTCGATATACCAAGCCCTCAAAGGAACCGAGGAAGGATCTCTTAGTTAGTCAGGACACGGCTCATCGGATGTTCGGCCATATTAGCTAAAAAGCAGTTAGGCACTTAAACGATCATGTGATTGGGATTAGTGTCGAAGAGCAGGCAATTGCTCTGACATGGACAGACTGTCAAGTTTGTATTAAAACGAAGCTTCACAAGTTTGTGAGCAGGAGAGCTTAAAGTGAGCTAGCTGAACGTCCGTTCTACCGAATAGGAATAGACCTAGTGCAGCTAAGAGAAAGAAACGAGCGCTGCTATAATGGAGATCTATAGATGCTCCATGCAGTGTGTTCGTATAGTAAGTGGCATGAGGCATGCTGCCTAGTAGATAAGAGCTTAGGCACCCTTAAGCGTACAGTGATGCGTCTACTAGCTAAGATCAAACGCCAGTTCGACGCGGTCGTAGTAGTCGTAAAGCTTAACAACGAGCGCGGCTATAGCGAGTTACTCTATGTGCTTAAAGATCTCGGTATTATTATAGAACCCCGAGCTAAGTACCACAGTCCGCAACAATCAATTAAGTGGGTCCTAGAAGGTTCAGATTGGATTGATTGATTACCGCTTTAAGCCTAGTAGTTACCTATAGGAGTTTAAGCCCTACCTAGATAGGTAAGTGGGTCTAGGAGAGTGACCGGATTGAATTGATTGTTGCGGAGTCTACTAAGTACACAGAGGAGCAGAACGGCCTATCAGAACAGGCTAGGAAGATGATCGTGATCCGAGCGAGAGCGGTCAGAATTGATGGAAGACTGCCAATAGAACTCTCAAATAAGTGCTGTCTTGTGGCAGTCTACCTGCTTAATAGAACACCAGTCGAATCACTAGGATGGAAGACTCCGTACGAGGTAGTACGGGGACAGAAGCCGTCGGCAGCTCACCTTAATGTTGTGGGAGCCCGAGCCTACGTGCTGAATAACAAGCTAAAGCGTGGAGAGAAGCTCGAATCTCGCGCATTAATTGGACAGCTGGTTGGATATAACTCCACGAACATATACCGAGTATGGATGCCAGCATTAGGACGAGTCCTCAGGACGAGAGACGTCGTCTTCATGTCTAATGATGGAACTGAGCCTGTCTACCCAGATCGACAGACTCTGAGAGAGGTGGTGACGATACTGGACGTTCCAGAACCACTAGAGGAAACTGACTAGGAGATAGAAATGCTCCTACAGTCGGCGCAAAGAGACTGGAGTGGTCCGAGCCGGTCCGAGCAAGCCGCTCGAACAGACCACGCCAAGGATGCGCCTCGGACGTTGCCAACACCTGAGAGCACTCCAGAATCAATTCCTAAGCCTAAGCCTGAGCCCGAGCCTAAGCCCAAGCCCGAGCTGGAAACAGTCGAAATGCCGCGAGGCTAGGAGCAGATACCAGCCAAAGCAGAGGCACTAGATCGACGATTGAACAACGCTCCAAGACGTGAGGAGATTAGCAGTCAGGTTAGTGAGTCTAACGTTCTAACGGGAAAAAGACATAGGAAGACGCTTAGCACGTACTTCGTTACGTTCGCTGAAGCACTTCAGCAAACAGAGCCACAGAAATCACGGCTACACAGGGATAAGCTTCCGCCTCCGCCAAAGAGATGGAAAGACCTAGAGAAGCACCCTTTCGGACAGGAATTTAAAACGGCAGCAGCGAAAGAATTCAAGAGCTGTCGTGAAAAGGGCTGCTTTAAGACAACGTCAGCCACAGTGATTAATAGCCAGAGATTGCCCTTGATGTAGGTATTCACGTACAAGTTTAATAAAGACGGACTTCTATACAAGCACAGTCCGCAACAATCAATTAAGTGGGTCCTAGAAGGTTCAGATTGGATTGATTGATTACCGCTTTAAGCCTAGTAGTTACCTATAGGAGTTTAAGCCCTACCTAGATAGGTAAGTGGGTCTAGGAGAGTGACCGGATTGAATTGATTGTTGCGGAGTCTATATACAAGTACAAGGCTCGGCTTGTCGTAAGAGGAGACCTCCAGGAGGACTGGGGCGACACGTACGCAGCCACGCTGGCCGCACGAGTGTTCAGATTCCTCATAGCTCTCACGGCAGCCTTTGGCCACAGTCCGCAACAATCAATTAAGTGGGTCCTAGAAGGTTCAGATTGGATTGATTGATTACCGCTTTAAGCCTAGTAGTTACCTATAGGAGTTTAAGCCCTACCTAGATAGGTAAGTGGGTCTAGGAGAGTGACCGGATTGAATTGATTGTTGCGGAGTCTACCTTTGGCCTAAAAGCATATCAGTATAATGTGCTAAACGCGTTTTTGAACGCACCTCTTGAGAAGCTAGTCTACGTACAGACTCCAGATCCGTACGTAAAAGAGCTCAGCAAGATACTCGAGCTTAAGAGAGCTCTTTATAGGCTAAAAGACGCGCCTCTTCTCTAGTACAAGCACCTAAAGGAGACGCTAATTAAGTTAGGTCTAAAACCAGTAAAGGACGTTCCTTGCTTGTTTACCAACGAGAGACTAATAGTCTTCTTCTATGTTGATGATATCATGGTACTGGTACATCCAGATCACCTTAATAATCATCAGGAATTTAAGAGACGACTGGAGGCGGTATACGACCTAAGAAAGCTTGGAGAGCTCAAGTGGTTCCTTAGGATCAGAGTTCTGAGAGACTAGACAGCAGGAAAGATCTGGCTAACACAGGACTCATTTATTGAGAAGGTAGTCAACAAGTATGACTTAGATCAGAAGTCAGGGGGGAGATATCCAGCAGTCCCGCTCGTAGAGAACTCTCTAGCCCAGTCAACCAAGGATACGAGTAACCAGCGTACTCAGCTATACCAGCAGCTGGTTAGATCGCTGGCGTATATCTCGACGTTCACGAGACCGGATGTGGCACGAGCCCACTCCGTACTGGCCCGGCATCTCCAGAACCCTGGGCAGAAGCACGTATCGGCAGTAAAGCATGTCTGGCGATACCTGTATGGAACAAGACATCTAGCGATTAGAGCTAGTCAGCAGATAGCAGAGAGCTCGTCCTACGTCTAAGACAAGTCTCTCTTCTATAGAGCATCTGATGCAGCGTTTGCTGATGATGTGGAAAGTCGTCAATCATCTCATAGATATTTGTTCAAGCTCTATAGGATGCCTATTAACTAGAAGGCTACCCGCCAGAGATCTGTTACGAAGTCAACAACTAAGGCTAAGCTAATAGCTCTATCAGCAACCGGAGGGGAGATAGAATAGTGGACCTAGGTCTTCTAGCATATCAAGTTCGACCTAGAGATTCAACCAACGATCTACTGCGACAACGAGCAGACGGTCGGGATCGTTAAGAAAGAAGACGAACGGCTTCACACGAAGCTAAGACATGTAGACACCTATCAAATGTGGGTAAGACAGGAGGTACAGGAAGGAAGGCTCTGTGTAGAGTGGTGCCCTACAGCAGAGATGCCTGCAGATGGACTCACAAAGTCCCTCGTAAGGCAGAAACACGCCGAGTTTATGAGACAGCTAGGGCTTGAAAATGTTCGCCAGCTTCTTACTACTCATGTAAACACACCAGAACCAACCGAGCTATGGCACTAGCACTAGTCAGCTTTGTTGATCACGGCAGCTAGGGGGGAGTGTAACGGTTTGGGACTTGCCAAGACCGACTTGGGTGAGAGTTGGGTACGGCCATCGCTACCACACTTTCTCATCACACACACCTATATAGCTGCAGTTCCTCCATAGCTACACAATGCAACGCAGTCCTCCTCCTCTCCTCACACCGTTACAACATTCGCTAAATCAACTAAGATGTAGGCCATGCATCTACTATTGTAGCCTCCGCTTTTAATCTTGAAAACACGCTTGAAAAATCAAAACAAAGCCATTCTTCAACTTCACAGCTTGTCATCCTCAAACAGATCGTCCAACTCGTCATCTTCCACAACCTCAACCTCGGTAACAACATTCTCTTTGTTAGCTTCCTGGTTGCTTCTCTTCTCCTCCGCCTTCTTCTCTGCGGCCTTCTTCTTCGAGAAATTCGGATCCTTGTCCGAAAGTGCAGAAGGCTCAGGCTCTTGCAGCAAGGCGCGCTGCTCCGCTGACAGTGCCGCACCTTCAACTCGTAGGCGCTTAACGTCCCACCAAGCGTCGAAGCGGTCCCAGTTCGGCCACTTCTTCCTGCTCTCGAGTGCTTGGCAGTCTTGATGTAGACGCATGTGCTTCTTCAGAGCAGCTGCTTTGGCGTCCGTGGTGATGCCCTTGCCGTTGACTCCAGGCTGTTTAGTCACCGGAGCAGGAGGCTCGCGACCAGCGGCGATGGCTTCATCAACCTCTTTTTGTCGCTTCTTTTCATCTTCTTTGGCTTTTGCAGCTTGCTGCAGACGCTTCTCCTTGCGTCGCTCCTGCCTCGCCTTTGCAACCCGCTCCTCTGCATCTTCCTTCGCTTTTTGCGTAGCCAAACGTTCCGCTGCTGCCTGCTCCTGCTTTTTCAGGGTGACGTTGCATGTTCTGTCCCAGGTCTTGTGCCTGGGATCAAGCTCCCCCTTGTGAATCAACATCTCCACCCGGCCTCGCCAAGAAAAAATCTCTTTCTGGATTGATGCTCGCATCTTGTTCTCGGTGAGGCCCGTCTGACAGCACGACTGCTTTGTCTCGTGCGGGTGCCGACATTTGTACATGCCAGTTTCGCTATTTGGCGTGTAGTCGGAAATGTGGTCCAAGGGGTATTCAGGGACCCGGACCAGATCATTCGGGTATTTCACCTTGTCCGGCTTCACAGAGGGGTTTTGGCGGGCGGGTTGGGCGGTCGTAGCTGGGGCTAAGGGAGATTGGAGGGGGGATTTGGAAGAGACTTTGCTGTTCTTCTCGCTTTTGTTGTGCTCAGATGGTGCTTGTACCGCGGGAAGCGTTTGTGGTTGGGTGGTTTGGGCGCCTTGATGCGCGTTCGACAGTGCAGGAAGACGCGCCTTCTGGTACTTGTCGAACTCATCTACCATGGCTTTCGTCACCATGGTATTGATTGCCTGTTCGTATCCTATCCTCTTGAGGCGCTCCACGATCTCTTCCGGTGTGCTCTTCTTCACACTAGCCAACCAATCTCGCTCGTGCTGCACCAAGCGGATTCGGAAGCTGGATATGGCCGTCCAGAGAGTTTGGTATTCTTTGCTACGCTGATCATGTTTTATCATGTTGCGTGCAAGCAGAGAGAGATGTTGGTAGGCGACGTACCGTTTTGATGGCTGGAACGATCGCAGATGCCAGATGTGGCTCGGGACTAGATCCTTGTCGGAAGGCATCTTACTTCCGACAAGCCAGTGCTGTTTTTCAATACCAGGCACTTTGGTGATGAGACGTGGTTGAAGGTCATCCTTAGCCGCCTCGAGCCATTGCTTCTGTAAAGCAAACAGTTGTATCTGGGCGGAGTCGTCAGTGTCGGAGGGAGCGGATGGGTTGGGGGAAGATGCGCTTGCAGCAGACGGCAGCTCAATGCGCTGATCAGGGGCTTGGTGGGAGATGTGAAAATTCTTCATCGACTTCTTTGGGGCCTGATGCGACGCTGATGGTGGTGATGGTGGTGCTGATGGTCCTATTACGTATCCTGTGTAAGCGACTGCATGGGACTGTTCAAGTGGTTGCTTACTATAGGGTGACCGGTTCATTGCCATGTGATCAATGTACGACATGTGCAAATCTTCATTAGGAAAGTGTTGTTGTTCTGGAGCAAGGCTCCGCGATGTTTGTTGCCGTTGTCGCTTGGACGGCTCAACTGGCTCGTCCTCACGCTGGCACTTTTGTGGGCGCGACGTAGGCATAGTGGCTTGTTGTCGTTGAGACAGTGTACTATCGCTGTATAATGTCGGAAGATTGGGAGAGTATGGGCGGATTGAATCAATGGTTGAGACAATGGTAGCGACCGATGGTTGCAAACTGAGTCAGTAGAGTTGAATCGACAGAGTTGCGACAACGGTTCTAAGATTTTTCTATATAGTAGCAGGCGCGTCACAAACATCGCGGCTTCTGTGCGTAGGGTCATGTTTTCGTAATTGCGCCCGGCCGAAGTGGAGCGGGCAGGTCACGTTCACTGTCTGTTCTGGACTGCCATTCACCATCTGGTCTTCTTTGGGTTAGCGTAGTAGGCACTCGCCCTATCGTTCAGCCAATCGACAAGCTTTGAGCGGGGGGATGGGGGTCCAGGAACATGACGGGCGGCTCCACAATCACTGCGAAGAGCGAAGTGTGTTGCAAAGGACTATGGAAGATAGAAGGGGCTGCGTTTTATTGAGACATTACGACTGTATACTACTGACGGACTGACGGGATAGCGGATCTCGAATCTACTTTATATCCCCTCTGCGACAATCGTATCGTCGTAGTCACGCTGTTCGAGTGTTAGCAAACTACGAACCACATGCACGTTACCTGGAACGTGCTGGAAAGAGACAACGCCCGAGACATTAGATAGAAGCACCTCCGGAAGTCTCGCTGTTGTGTTTTGTTGATTTTTTGCACCTATTGGGGGTATAGGAGGGTCGTAGATGAGAGCTAAAGAGTCGATAGCCCTCGCCACACAGGTCTGTATTCACTATATACGAACTTACACAGTGTCACTCTTCAGCTCTGTCGCATAGCGAATTCGACAACATTGTATATAAGAATACATCCTATACGAATCAATCACCAACAATGTATCCAGCTACATCGTTGCGTATGCACCATGTACCTCGTCTGGTTATATTTATTTTCCGTCTCGTACCCCCTTATTACTTTCGACAGTACAGTCTACTACACACAGCAACAATGGCGGTCAACCCAGAATCACTCACCTACTTCACTGCCATTGAGGGTTGCACACCGCCCCAGGGCGAAGAGTGCAGCGTCTGCCTGGAAGCACTGGAGGGGCCAGCTCCCCAGTACGACAACAATTCCGGGGCTGACGGTCATAAGACCGTCTTCATCAAGGTGTGTGGTCCTAAGCACTTCTTCCATCGCCGCTGCATCATGCGTTGGTGGCGCTCTGCAAGTCCAATGCTCAACACATGTCCTATGGACTGTGTTGTGGCCTATGGTGGTTCGTGTAACGGGCTGAGCCCTAGGTCACATGACTAGGCCGCTGGCCTAGTCGCTTTCTTCCTTCTATCACTCCTTCCCCCAGCAGCCCGTGCGCCGTGCGCCAACCCAAACAAAGCGGGATGGCCGCCCACTTTCCTCTTCTTCTCTTCATCTCGACTGTAAATAGCATCTGGATTAGGTAGCTGGAATACAGTACCTACAGACCGTTCACAGTTCGCGTGTGCAGCAACCGCCAACTGACTACTTGGTGTTTGCAGAGTTCCCGGGTCATGAGATTGAGGAGCACGACGCTGGCCGTCGTGCTGGTCTTCAGTCGACTTGGGCTCAGGTCGCCCGGGGTAACTGACTTATCTGACTAGTTTGAAGCGGATAAGTCATGTAGTTCAGGGTAGGCCTCTCTTTTGTCTTCCTCATTGTTTACAGCAACTGCATCTAGACTTTCCTTCTTTGTCGTTTACAACAATTATTTGGACTTGTATTTTCAAATAAAATCATCATGCCTGTCAAGGCGCCAAAAAAAGTGTCTAATAATGTCGTGTGAATATACTACACAATGACTCCATTATGTGACACCCATCTTGATTGCTTCTTCCCTCCTCCCACCTAAAACGACTCCCATAACACAAAATCGCACAAAGAATAAGACAACTTCACACCTTACACAAAACATCAGCCCTTCCCTCCCCGTCGTCCCTGTCGTGCAAGACTAAACAAGCTTCCGCTTCCCACGCCTGCCCCGGCTAAACCCCACCACCCCGCATCCGGTCTAGCCCCATGCGGGGCCCTCGTCTAACTTATCGTCGTCACTCCGACCCAACCCGCAATCTCAAGTACCGGTAAACGACGCAACCTCACTTTACTATCATTCGCTCTAGATATGGTTTACGTACCTTCCTTATCGGCTCGGATGCCAAGGTTGTGTATGCATGGTGGAGCGATGGTTGCTTACACTGCGTCATGGCCGGTGAAGAGAGCTGCGGGAAGAGTGGAGATGGAAATGGAGATGGGGGGTATAAAAGGTGGTGTTTGGTCCGGGTTTGGATTGGAGGTAGAAAGGTTGAGATAGATTTCTTTTATTGGGAATCATGCGTTTATCTGGTTTTACTGCTGTTGCTCTTGCGGGCGTGGGTGTGGGTGTGGGTGTGCTAGGAGTAGATGCAGCACCAACCGCGCATCGAATCGAACAACGTGACACAACCACCACAGCAAGTGAACGACTCGGATTGAAATGGATGGGAGGAAACACTACCTTACCAAAAATCCTGTACGCTTTCCCTCCCCTTTCCAACCATCCCACCCCTCCTAACCCCCACCCAAGCGTCCTCTTCACCGGCGGCACCATAGCCGGCGGCTCCATCTACGGCGCCCTCGATGACACGCAATACGGCCAACTGAGCCTAACCGCGGAATCAATAATCGCCCGAAACTCGTACCTCCTCAACCACACCCAACTCGCCGTCTCAAACTGGACATCCGCCTCCTCCGGCTCCCCAGGCTCCACGGGCACCAACGACGCTCTGGTAATGAACATGACACGCTTCGCGCACGACGCTCTGTGTTCCCCCGACAGCGATATCGCCGGCGCGGTATACACGCACGGCACGAATTCGCTCGAGGAAACAGCTTTCTTACTAGACGCCCTGGTCAACTGCGGGAAACCAATCGTTGCAACAGGGAGCATGCGCCCATTTACCCATTTATCGTATGACGGCGATGCGAATTTCTTTGACGCGGTGGCGCTGGCGGCGAGTAAGGAGGCTGTGGGGAGGGGATTGTTAGTAGCGTTTAATGCGAGGATTATATCGGGGTATTGGGTTACGAAACTTTTTTCTACCAATCCGGATGCTTTTGGTGCTACGGCTGGGGGTGATCTAGGTCTTTTCGTCAACTCGCTGCCGGTTTTTTATAATTCGCCCAGTCGGCCGCTGTGGAAGAAGGAGTTTGATGTTGGGCTTGTGTCGCGACATGGGAGTTTTCCGGGGCTGCCTAAAGTGGATATCTTGTATGCGGCGAGGGGGTTTGATGGCAGGTTAGCGTTGGATGCGTGGGGGAATGGGGCGAAGGGGGTCGTTATTGCTGGCACGGGGAATGGGGGTGTGCCTAGTGGTGAGGAGCAGATTCTGGAGGCGATGGAGAAGGGGTTGCAGGTTGTGGTGGGCACGAGGAGTCCGTTTGGACCGGCGAGTCCGGCGAGGACGCCCACGTGGGCGACGGCTGGGTTGCTGCATCCGATTCAGGCAAAGATTATGTTGCAGTTGGGGATTGCGAGTGGGATGGATATGAATGGGACGATTGAGATGTTTGAGGGGGGGTTTAGGGGGGCGATTAGGCAGGTGTGGAGGGTGGGGAGTTAGATTTTATTTAGTGTGGTAGGAATTTACTCGGATTTCTAACCGTTCATCTTCGTGTCTATCCGTGCAATAGTATCTTCACCTGATCATGAACCTCCTCACACTGAAACTTCTACTGCCTAACCATCATGGAAGTTGTACTCCTGCCCAATGGCACTCAACCCCTTTCCATCCGGGCTAACCAAAAGTCCATCTCCAGGCTGCGCCATGAAATATGCATACCGATGAATATCGTTCGAGTTATCCATCCACGGCATCACATCATCCAGGAAAGCCTTGACCTCATCGTCGGACCCGCTGGCATGGAACTCAGTGACCCAGATAGGGCGGCCACCGGCGATTTTACGCGTATCTTCGATGTGCTGTTTGAAGTAGGCGGCGTTGTTGGCAGCGTCGTACCTGCGGTTGTGGCTAGTAAGTGACGAAGGGGGCTGATGTGGTGGTCGCCAGGAATGGGAGTGGGAAGTGGAGGGCACTTACCAGTGAATATTAACATGATCAATCTGACAACCCGAACAAGCCTTCAGGAACTTCGCCAGCCACCCCAAACCAGTAGTATCAGTAGGCGTAGCATTAGTCACAGCCGGCGACCCCAGATACACCTTCGGATTCAAATCAGCCAAAGGATCCATATACTTCTTCCACGCAGAGACTGCAGTGCCAACATCGATGCAAGAACCACCTGCATATGGCCTATTCACATCAAACACATCAGCCTCACCATCTCCCCCCAACGCCTCACAAGTCATCTCATACTTACACACAGTTATCCGGCTCATTGAACCCCAGAAACCACGTAGGCGTCTCCCCATGATCCTGGTAGTTGCTCCGTACCTTCTCCTCCGCATTCGCCTTCCAAACGGCCGTGTGTTCCGGCAGCAGTGTATGTAGCATGGGCACAAAGCGGAACCAGGCGGTCGAAGAGGCAGTGCTCGATTCCCAGTTGTAGCACCATGTAGCGAGGGAGCCGCGCTTGTCGAAGAGGGCCGGAATGGAGGGGTCGTTGTAGGCGATACCGCGGCGCTGGTGGGAGGGTGCTAGAGGGGGTGCGGCGCGGACTGTTAGATTGGCAGTGTGCACGTGATCGTGGGTGGTCGCATGCTTGTGGTTGTGGGATAGAGTCAGACTCCGCAACAATCAATCAGATCGGCATGATTGATTCCTATCTAGGTTAAAGGCTGCCTAATGAAGTAATTCTTTAACCTATATAGGAATCAATCATGTCGATCGATTGATTGTTGCGGAGTCTGGATAGAGGGGAGGAGAGTGTGAGGGGGAGAAGCGAGAGGGTGGTGAGGATTAGAACGAGGAAGTTCATGGTGGTAGAGGTAAAGGTAGGTAGAGTGGTGAGTTGAGGGTGAGCTGGGTGGGGGTGTGATGGAGGGGGGAGTAGCTGTTTATATGGAAGGAGGGAATTGAATAAAGAACTAGCGTGACTCATTTGATCATTCGTGCGTGTATTTGAGGTTTTAAAGCTGGTCAGGTAGAATCATAGGCGTACACACGTGATCATGTGATATGCCTGAGAGAAAGAGGATAGGATGGGGATCTGGCCGGACGACACTTGTTGACCTTGAGGGAAGCAGACCGACTAGAAAAGAGTGGCCGGCCAGTTGATCATATTGATCCAGGGAGGTATGCGCTCTCTCACCGAAAAGGAAGACAAGCCTTCTGACATAAGCGTGGTGGCTACAAACCTTCGTACCAGGGGATCTGTGTAGTAGACTGTCAAGTAGAATGATTGCGGACAGGAGCGAGGAGCGGTTGAGAAACAAAAAGAGGTGGTCATAAAACATGTAAAGGGCAGTTTTGGTGATATGAAAGTAAAAGGTCAATGCTAGACTTCAGATCTTTGTTCCGTAATATTTAACACATGCGCGAGTAACGCTGACAAGAAATGATTGCGACGTGAGTAAACCCATAGATATAGTGTTCTCAGCTATCATCATTGTATTAACGGACTGTGAATGTGGCAAACGGCCACCAGACTCAAAGACCAAGGGCGGTCTCGTTTGGTACGATGTCCTTGACCTTGGCGTCAGCATGCAAACACATGTTCATCGTCAGCACATTTAGGTCATAAGTCAAGGAACGCTCAATCGAGTCGTAGCAAGATGCAATTACAGATGCACGCCTGCGATGCATTGAAGATTGAATACCATACTATACACATTCCGATACACATTCCGATACACATCTTCAAGTCTACATCTTACCTCCAGTAAGCTCCTCGGCAAGCTTCTTGACTCTCTCCCTGGCCAAACCAACACCCTCGCCACCCTTGAGCTTCTGCAGCAATTCGACGACACCTTCGGGTATGGGACCTGCCCAGGGACTGAGACCGTCCTGGCCGTTGGCTCGCAAGCCCATGTTGCCCCTGTTATCCCATCCAATGGGCTGCTCCTCTGAGCCAAATGCCTTATCAATTGCCTCTTCTAATTGTTGTTCATCTACGATGAACTCGCGGGCATTTGTGTATAAGTCGTGAAGACGGGAAGCGCGCATTTCCTGTACTCTGGCCATTCGCCGCTGGTACGCCCTACTACGGGCTTTGGATATGTCCGGTCGCGGGGGAAGTGAGTCGGTCAAAAAGTCGCGGATTCCCTTTGCCACGGATGTCTCGGTCAAGATGTCGACTTCCCGACGTGGTGCCATTGCTAGTTCCCGCCGTGTTGCGCCAATAGCTTGAATCTTGGCCAAGTACTCGGCTTCTGATGTGACCTTGCGCTCGTGCAACTCCTTGACACCCTCCTTCAATGCCTCTCTCCTCTTCTCCGCCAGTCTTTGCTTGTATAGCCGGTAGTCGGCATCCTTGCTGTAGGGTCCCGGTACCTTTACTTCCTTCGGCTCCCGCGTGCTCCTTGCGATGAAGATGTCTGATTCCTTTGGGTGCTTATTCCTCGTCTTGAAGACATCTCTTGGAATGGGAAGATGGCCTTTTACTTCTGGTTTGACTGGGTACGAAGGTTGTAGCGGCTTTGGGACTTCAATGTAGTTTGGTGACTGCGGGCCGAGGGCGAGCGAAGCCGGTGTCGAGGAAAAGCCCCGCACACACAGAGTGCTACTCCATGCGCTAGTCGGTGCAGAGGGTGGATTGGACGTCCAGGAAACACGGACGGGTATCCGCGGCGGCATTGCGAAGGAATTGCGGCTTGCAGGGCGATGCGGAGGTGCCTGCGGTGGTGTGGTCGCGGCTTCTTCGAAATTGTCGTGCCAAGGCCGCTTGGCCCCACCCAGCTAGCTCCCGCCTCTCAAAAAAAGTTGCCCGGACTTCGCGACCTGAACTCTTCGCTCTTCCACCACTCGACAATTCACACGAAGTAGCCGCCATGGGTGTTCAGAAGAAAGAGAAAGCCCGAAAGGAGCGCGAGGGGAAGACAGGCGATGGCATGGGCAATGTCAAGGTCAAGGGCACAAACTTCTACCGGTATGGCCATTTGTGTAGCTAGTTTGGGATGGAAGGTGAATGCTAACGATTACCAGTGATGCGAAGAAGGTCAAGGTCCTTAAGCGTCTTACAGATGGTAAAGCTCAGCGCAATGCCAAGGGAGACGTGACCAAGGCGGCTGTCTACCAAAACCGCGATGCGCCCGTCGCCCGTGTAGAGCCTAACAGGAAGTGGTTCAACAACACGAGAGTGATATCCCAAGATGCGTTGGAGAGCTTCCGTTCGGCTGTACAGGCGCAAGCCTCGGATCCTACGACATATCTCATGAAGCGCAACAAGCTTCCTATGAGCTTGATCGAGACTCCGGGGCAGATTCCTGGTCTGAAGCAGCACGCAGCCAAGATTGCTGTCGGCAGCCAACCTTTCTCAGAGACTTTTGGCCCAAAGGCGCAAAGAAAACGCCCAAAGCTAGACTTTAGCTCTATTGAAGATTTGGCTGGTCGCACAGGAAGCATGCACGAGACATATGTCGAGCGACTTGAGCAGGCCAAGCTGCTATCTGGCACTTCTGGTGAAGCCGAGAACGAGAACGCTGCCGACAACCCTGATGGCGAGCTCACGTCTGCGCGAGAATTTATTTTCATGAAGGGTACATCCAAGCGTATCTGGAACGAGCTGTACAAGGTTAGTATTTCCCATACATCGACCTAGCTGTATACTAACTACTTAGGTCATCGACTCTTCTGACGTTATTCTTCACGTCTTGGACGCTCGCGACCCAGACGGCACCCGGTGTCGCTCCGTTGAAAAATACATTCGAACCGAAGCACCGCATAAGCATCTTGTTTTCGTGTTGAACAAGGTTGACTTGGTCCCCTCCAAAGTAGCTGTAAGTGGCCCTACTACACCCCCGTCCCATCCCCATCCCCATCACACACCCTCCTTAAGTCAAGGACCTATTCCTATTCCATGAAATGGTTCTGTTACAAGTTGGGAAGAGCAAAAGTGGCTCGCCGTCCTAAGATCGTCTTGATCTCGGGTCGACTGCAACCGTCTTGGTTGTGGTCAATAGAGTCACGCGTGATTTGTTTGAGTTGAGGACCGTCTCTGCACTAGCAGCTTCATGGCGGTACTCTTAGTAATATTTCGCACATTCCATCAACAAGATATTCGATTATGTTTGTAGATGGACAAAGCTGACATTGCTTAGGCTGCTTGGGTACGACATCTCAGTCGCGAGTTTCCCACACTTGCCTTCCACGCCTCCATCAACAACAGCTTCGGCAAGGGTTCGCTCATTGCGCTCCTTCGCCAGTTTAGCTCCCTTCACAGCGACCGCAAACAGATCTCTGTGGGCATGGTTGGCTACCCAAATACCGGAAAATCTTCCATCATCAACACGCTTCGCAAGAAGAAGGTGTGTGTTGTTGCGCCGATTGCGGGTGAGACCAAAGTCTGGCAATACATCACATTGATGAAGAGGATCTACATGATTGACTGCCCCGGTATCGTCCCGCCAAACCAGAGCGATACAGATGAGGATCTTCTGCTGCGTGGTAGTGTGCGTGTGGAGAATGTGGAGTACCCAGCACAATACATCAAGGCCGTTTTGCGACGGGTGCAGCCACGACATCTTCAACGGACATACGATATTAAGGAGAAGGATTATGAGAACGATGATGTCAGATTCTTGGAACTCATCTGCAGGAAGAGCGGTCGTCTGCTAAAGGGAGGTGAGGCTGATATCGACGGAGCGGCAAAGATGGTTCTCAACGACTGGATACGAGGAAAGCTTCCTTGGTTCACACCACCACCTTACAAGGAAGGTGAAGAGACCGGGCCCATCAACGAGAAGCGTGAAGGCAAGCTCGGAGAGATGAGCAAAAAGAGGAAGCGAGGAGGTGAGAGCGAGGCCACAGCAAGCGTTGTCACAAGCACCGACGCAAAGGGCGCCGCTCAAGACCAAGTCGACGACGACGAAGATGATGACGAATTTGGCGGCTTCAGCGACGATGATGACGAGGAAGATGATGAGTCCTCCGACAATGAAGAGGGCGGCACACTACTCGAACCCGCTGATGGAGACGACGACACAAGCGAAGATGATGAGGATGTAGAGCAAGAAGTCGCTGCAATATCGGAAGCGCTCTCCAAAGCAAAGAAACGACAACGCACGTGAGGCTGAAGACGCAAAAAAAGTAGTTTATGATTCAAATGATACCCCAACATTACCATGTCTCACATCTGTTTGCCACTTGCCTATGACATAATTGTCGTGTCATGCTTATGCTTGAAAGATCTTACCGTTGGCTAGTATTAGTCTTGTACTTTTCAGTGCTTTCGCGCCCTGAGCCAGTAAGTATAGATTCCAGCCCATTCCTTTTTTTCATCTGAAAATAGTGTTTGGTAAGGACACCAACATACTCTTGTTGTTCCTAATCTACAAGAAGTATCAGTCTTGTGTAGCTTCCCTTCGTAGCATGATGGCTTCATCGGTTCAGTGTTCTTCTTACAGACCTTGTTCAAGAGATTTGCGCTACATGATAGGATTTTTTTTACATTGATACCATGCTTGGTATCATTATCTGTCCGGAGAAAGTCATTTATTTCTTCCGCCATTTTGACGGTATTTGTGTGTATTAGCTTTATCCTTTCTTGGTGTTGCGGAGGTGTATGAACGCGAGATGCGCATGGTTGCTTAAGGCGAGACAAGACGTATGCCTGCGCTGTGTAAGGTTAGGATGGTTGGGAGAAGGGCCGGGGGCGAGGTCTGCTTTGAATTTATTGGATAGTGGCTGCTGCTGTCTAGGATGTTAGTTTTACGAAAAGGGCCGGATATCTTTCATGTTGTAGGGAGCTCATCGTTACTATGTTGGATAGGACCTCGGGATGGTAGGTATAGAAAAGACTTGTGGTTCGCATTGTGGAACCAACTATAGTCTCGAAGTCTTCTTAGCGTACTGCGCAATCTGCATAGCTAGCAGCGCCTTGATCTACTAAGATCTTCTTAATTCCCTTTTTTTATCTAAAATCTTACATTTGGCCACGTACACCGGAACAAAGAATAACCGCACGTGCATAGGCGTTGCCTGTATGTATAGCACGGGCGCGACTTCGGTAACATGTCGCTTCTACCGAGGAGATGGAAAGTCTCTGCGCACAAAGGCAGTTCACGACCATAATTACTCGTTTGGACTCTCCCGATGAAGACGTGGTCGAATACCTTAGCTAGCTTCGTGGACGCACATGCCATGTTCATTTGTTGGTTGTCGTGGGGGCAATGCATTCGCAGAATGTGCCGGTTCGGGGAGCCTAGTGCGAAAACTGCGTAGTAGATGCTGACAGGCTGACAGAAAATGCAGATGCTAGTCTTGAGGAAGTATGATCGAAAAGTGGTAGAGTTTATGTGAGATCAGAAAAACGATGGTCGAGAGAGAGTGAAGTCGACAAGCTCGGTAGGACTGCCTAGAACAGTCTCTGCTGATCGATCGCCACGATGAGATCAACACACCGTGTTGGAGTAGTAAGACTCACAGTCTAGCGAGAAGCATTGAAGGTGAGAGTCCCGAGTGTTATCCGCAACCATCCGATCCATGTAAGCATGACGGCAGTAACTCCGGGTTAATCGATTCGGCTGTCCTACCAAACTTGCCATGTCCTATGGTCTGCTGTATTAACGCCCGCCTCGATATACTCAATCATAAGCTTTTAGTCTAGACAAATCAGCCGCGAGCCGAATGTATATAACTGTAAAAGTGTGGCCGCTATAAGCTTACGCAACAGCAATCCCAACATCATCAAAGTCTTACATAACTTTTCTGCATCGAGCAGTCACTACGGAGGTGCCTTTCAAAAGTTTTGTCCCACGCTAATCTTGGTGCTTCAGCGCAACTCTTCTTAGCATAAATCTTACCTCCAACAAGCTAAATAGCTATACGATTACTCTATATCGTTACTGTGATGGGCTAGACCTATGTATGCCTACTTGTAGGCTGAGAGAGAGCAGCGCAGTCATGCCTCCTATATAAATATCGACTACGCAAGCTGAATCGCGTTGATTCAACTTGTGCATGCCTTTTGGGTACGCGTGGCACATGTAGTCGTGCCGCTAGTCTTATAGACTTACGCCCGTTACAGTTACTGTCTCCCAATACTAATTCTTACACCTGTGCCTTAATTGTGTAACTGCGTGAGCACTGTCGGGTGGAGGCTGTGGATCAACGATTGTATTGCTATCTGTTGTCGTGTTGTGATGTATGTGTACAAGAGCTCTCGGCTCAGAGGTAGGTGCACTTGCCCACCGGGCAGTACCTGCTACAATAGGATGTCATGTGACTCTGGTCACGTGGTTACAAATTGTGACGTTAAAGTCACCTCCTGTAGGCAAGTCTACGTCACAGATCTTAGAGCTGACTAGTGTTTATCCTCGTACGGTCAACTGTATCTATAGTTGATGAAGGTGGAGAAACGTGCGTGAACTTGCTGTATTGGAGCTACGGGAGAAGGGAGAATATCTATGGTGCGCGCACGGAGCAGCTGACTAATCAGTGCCTGGCCAATCAGAGCACGGGAAGCCTGATTCACCGTGAATACTAGTGAAGGCTCTCACCGCGTCTCGACAATAGTAGAGCTATCGCTGCTAGATTTAAGCTAAACGTCCTTCCTCTTAAGATTCTCCCGCACCACGTACAGGACGCTCCTCGCTCTGGCCGACCCACGAGGCAGACGGAGGAGGTGAAGGAGGAGATAATCCAACATGTACGGCGTAATGAATATAGACGAGAGAAGAGCTGCGCTAACGTTGCTAGTGCTCTTAGTCTTAAAGGAGTTAATATCTTAGACACTACAGTCTAGAGGATATTAAGAGAGGTAGGGTATAAGAAGACTAAGCTAACAAGGAAGCCTAGGCTAACAGTAGATAAGGAATAATTGTCTAAGGTAGGTAATAGATCACAAGGATTAGTGTCAGATTGAGGCGAGGTTTTGCTCCATGATCGAGCCGATGGTGGTTGGGGAAGGACATGAGACCCCCAAACCAGGGCTAGCGCCGGGACTTAGCACTGCCAAGCCCGAGGCGAGGCCACCTTCCACAGACAGAGCCGTAGACAGACACAGACAATACACTTGATACCATCCATAAAAATCTGACAATTAGACGTTAGAGGACTAGAAGAATGTTATCTAGATAGATATGTTACGGATCCATAGACTCGCTCGGCCCATGGCCCCCATATCGATAAGATCCTTATCTTATCGGACTAGCGCCTTGGCGCCCACAGCATAAGTTCGGGCTCACAACGTAGATAGCTCGATAGCTTGTATCTTGTCAAATCCAATCTTTCTTGATCGATCCCTCACAGATAAGACGTCTATAGTAATTAACCACTAACGTAGGGGTTATAGAGTCTAGAGAAGAGTATATAAGAGAGTAGTTAAGAGCTGTATTTATAAGAGGTAGAAGGGATACTCTAAGTTTATGTTCTAGGGCTACTTCTCGTACGACAAGAAAGGTCTATACTATGTCTATTAGCTAGAAACAAAGACGGAGAAAGAAGACGCTGCTTAGAAGATTAAGTAGTGTCACGGTACTGATGTCAGATAGCAGGCGTGTCGAGCCGAAAGTGCCGACACCGCTAGCTAATAATGGGTTAGCGTCTTAGCAGAACAAAACTCTCAGCGCGCACCTTAGAACAGAGAACAATACAATCAATCATGAACATCCATCACTTTTGTGCAATATCTCATCTAATCTGACAATTAAGAGTCTCACTGCCTCTATAACGAGCAACGAACACGCAATAATGGCGACAAACCAGAGCCAGAGGGACGCAACAGTCATCCTCACCGACTCGAGCAAATGGATCCCCTGGTACCGCCAAATCAAGATGCAATGCGAAGCCCTAGAGATCTGGGACATTGTAGATCCAGCGGGCAACACTCAGCCTCGTACAAAGCCGACCGAACCTCTCCCTCCACTCGTATCCGACTATGAACCAGCCGCTGCTCTGAGAAATACATCATCAGCTCCATCCTCCTCTACACGAACCGCGAGAGCCAATGCCCGAGCGCCTACACAAGATACAGTTGACATAGTCAACCCTGCTGTTCAAACTCCAGCCATACCAGCTCGATACTCAGAACTCTCAGCGGAGGGGAAGGAGGCATACGATGGGGACTCAAGGGAATTCAAGATGGTTTTTGAATCATACAAAATACGCGAACGAAACTATCGAGACGAACGCACAAACATTGCGGCAATGATCAGACACCTGAATGCAACAGTTAGCCCACACCTTCAAGTGAGCTGCTTTGAGGAACATGGAACTCTCCGCACCTGGATCACAAACCTCCAGGTAGCAGTTGGAGTAGACCTCGACGATGAGATCAGAAGGGTACGAGAGAGGTACCACGATTCCTTGAGACCTATGAGAAGCCCGCAAAATTGGGAATCATGGCTCAGCGAATACGACCAAGCTGCAACTCGCGCCGAAGCCCTAAAGATAGGGGACGTGATACAAAGCAAGCTGGTTGTGGACGACTTCCTAAAAGCAGTCTCTAAGATTGCCCCAGCATGGATGGCAACATTCACTGGAGCGGGAAGCGACCGGAACAATATAGAAAGAAGGCAGATGATGAAACTCTTCCGCGAACACATGAGCCTAGCTCACCCAACACGAGGCAAATCAAGAAGTGCCTTTATGACGGGTGAAGCAGCCTACGCGGCGAGCGGTGAATCCGACTCGAACACACAGGGGGACGCCTCAAGTGTGCAAATTAGAGCGCCATCTACCAACCCTAGCCAGGGAAACCAAAGGCAAACAAACAAACGCAAAATGAATGCACCTGGCAACAAGTCCAAGCAGTTCCAGAAAAGGAATACAGCAGAAGCTGGCGACATATGTCCTGCTTGTGAACAACGCCATGACATCAGTAGCTGCTACTATGTCAACCCAACTTTGGAGACCCCAGATTGGTTCAAACCGAACAAACACATCACAAAGCTGGTACAGTACAAACTTCAGCATGATGCAGACTTACAAAGAATAATACAGGAAACAAACCTGGAAACGAAGCGACCACGCCTAACTACGGCATCACGATCAATTACACCCTACATTAAGACATCACAAACACCGGACTCAGTCACTGATTGACTAGATGGACGCGAGATCTCGAGGCTGGACGAGGGCATGATGAAAGCGGCATTCAATGCGAGCAATCAAGGATACCCATTAAAGGAT